ATAGAGCTTGTTTGGAATTTGCTGACATCTAATATTGCAATAGACACACAATAGACCGTGGATCAGTTGGGGTATTGTCTGTGAGATGAATTTTGATCAAGTTCATTATGCTCACCTCAGTCCAAATATCCTTGGGAAAAATACAAGTCATTTTTTAAAGACCAGTTTGGATAGATTAACGCAAAACAATATAGCACTTCAGGCTGATTTTAATACAGACTACTTTGACTGACAGAACAGAAAAACTATAGACCAAGTTTCCTCTGGACAGAGCTTGTCTGGAATTTGCTGACATCTGATATTGCAATAGGCATACATTCATATATTCAGCATCATGATTTGCTGATTCAATTTCGTTTCATGGTAGTTAATGAAAGAGCCAATAGCTGCTAGAGTTAATGGGAAAGTTCTCAAAAATTCTCCAAGGGAGGGTTTGCATATGGTTGCCAAATTTAGGTGAATATTTGTTATCAGAATAGCCAAATAGTTTCAATATGAAACCTTGAATGAAACCATCCCAGTGTAATTGTTTACATGCTAATCTTGCAAGCCATAATTTGTGAGTTTGTTCCTCACTATGTGGTTCACTAAGAATGAGAATTGGACATTTTCAAGTTCAAATTTAGATAATGTACATTTTTGGCACTTTCATTTTGATGCTAGTTACTTTCTAGAGAAAACAATAGCAGACTTTTGAGAATCTAAACCATTTTTAGTAGCATGCTCTATGGCAAAGTTACAATTTCCATTTCATAACTTGTAATTTTCCAGATTAAAAAATATTTATTCAAATAAATATCTTATTTTAATACTATTTTTAGCTTTAATAAAAGAGTCATGAAAATATTTTCTAATGATTGATGTGCACATTGATTCAAGTTGGTTTTAACTTGTGCTGCTTCGACTGACAGAATATAAGAACTATATACAGATTGATTTCAGGAATCATTTCAGCATTTTTTCAACTGAGTAATGACCCATGCCTCAGGTATGGTAGTTGTCCATGGCTCAGGTAGGATAAAGGTCCATGGCTCAGGTCAAATATTGGTCTGTAGCTCAGATAGTGTAATTGTCTACAAGTTCTGGCCAAGTCTATTATATTCACCACAGTCCAAATATCCTTGGGAAAGATATGAGTCCTTTTTTTGAAGTCCAATTTTGGAGGCTTAACACAAAACAATCTAGCACTTCAAATTGATTTTAATGTGGACTACTTTGATGGATTGAACAGAAAAACTATAGACCAAGTTTCCTCTGGACAAAGCTTGTCTGGTATTTGCTGACATCTGATATTGCATTAGACACACTGTGACACAGTTGGGATAATTGCCTGGACCAATTCATTATGTTCACCACAGCTCAAATACACTTGGGAAAGATATGAGACCATTGTTTGAATGTGAATTTTAGAAGCTTGGTATGAAAAAATTTAGCTCTTCAAACTGATTTTAACACAAGCTATTTTGACAAATAAAACAGAAAACTATATATACTCATTACTTCATAAATCACCTCACTATTTTTTGAAAATATTTCCATTTTTGCAACACCAAAGCACAAAAATTGCATCTCTCTTATTAAGCAACTTTTTAAAATGGGAAATTACAATTTGAAACAGGAAAAAAGATGTCCTGCTATGTAATATTTAATCTTCAACATGGTGTTAAATACACACAGATGAAAAAGAGACTTGAAACGATTGAGATGTGGTTATACCTATGAATGCTATGAATAACACAGACAGAACAAAGGGCAATAAGAAATAGAAACAAGAAGGGGACATATACTTACAATCAGAAAGAATTTAAATGTCTGGAACACATAATGAGGAATGAGAGAATTAGATAGAAACAGTATTAAATGAGTTAAACAGTATTTAATGAGTTTGTGGGAATGGGTGGAAGAACAAAGAGAAAGAAAGAGGTATGGTAATGAGTCAACAAAGGAAGTTGTGGAAAGCCATGAACCTCCACATCTTGAAAGGGCTTGGCACAGAAAAGAAAAAACACAATCTTTACATATGGCTAACATTACTATATTACATTACTCCATATATATATATATATATATATATATATATATATATATATATATATATATATACACACACACACACACACATTACCGTTCCAAAGTTTGAAGAAACCCCTGGTAATTTTTTAGATTAGCCCCAAAAGTAATTGTTTTGTACTTTAAATAAGAGAAAATTATTATACATGATTAAAAAAAAAAAAGAAGTTAGACACGATTTTTTATTAGAAATTTTATTATGACAAAAAGAAAAAAAAAGCATTTTATGATTAAATTTTGCTCTCATCAAAATATCCTCCTTTAGCCTTGATTACTGCAGCACAAATGTTTGTCATTCATTACAAAAGTTTCTCAAGGTATAAATTTAATGATTCCATTCTTTTTTCAATGACTTTTTTTCATTTTTTTTCTTTTTCACTCATATATCAAGTTCATCCTATGTTGATTCTGGTGGGGGGGGATCAAACTTTTGAACTGTAGCGTATGTCTTACTGAGACTGTCAAAAACAAAGACAACTATCAGGTGAGAATTTCTCTTTGTCACTCTGTTGTTAAATTTGGGGTTAAAGGTTATGCTAATTTCTGAGAAGCAAGTTTGAATTTCTATCAGTACCAAAGAGTGAGAACCAAAATTTTCTAAATCATCCTTTAGACAATAATTGCTTCAAATATCAACAAATGCTAAATCATCGAGTAGCAAAGATTAATGATTTACACTTAATGATAGTCTTCAATAAATAAAATCTGTAACATTTGCATCTCTTGACAGCAATCAAGATATTCTTCATTAAGGAATTGATAAAGAGAAAACTACAATGATAAAGGAAAAGAAAATAGAAATTATTTATAATGAGATTGAAATAAAGGAAAAGAAAGAAATAAAATTTTAAATATTCACACTTCAAATGATTATGCAGTAAAAAGATTTTAAATTCTAAAACAAATTTTTGTAAAGCATTATAAAAATGTAAAAAAATTGTAATAATATATGATTATGTCCAGAATAAAAGATTACATCCAAAATAAACACATCAATTAAGAACTGAAAAAATGATTTACTATAGCAGAGACACGGAGGATAAACTAAGACAAAATGTTAGAAAGCAAAATGATACAAAATATAGGGATTTTCTAAGCATAGCTTAGATGTTTGTACAAGGCTGAAAGTATTGAGCACTCAGAGGATCAAACTCCCAACTCAGTTTTGATTAATCTAGTGAGATGAGCTTGCTAACCATTACACTATGTCAAAGTGATACTAAATATAATTAGACCAATGTAGATGATTTATCTGAATAAAAACCAAATTAAAATTTACAATAATAAAGATATGAAAAATTAGAATAAAAATTGGAATACTGATTTTAATTCAATGTGATTATCAAGAATAAGAGCTTTCTTCCTCTATGTGCTGTGCCAATCATGACTCTCTACAACTTCCTGTCCTTTGTAGATCTTAATTAATTTCATTCTAAAGTCTACTAAACTCTATACTCCTAATGTTGTCACTTAAACTCTGAAATTTTATTTACTCTTCATTTATTTTTTCTCAATAGGAGTAGAGATTTCTCTTTTGTCTCCTGTTTAGAATTGGGTTTCCAGTTCCTTCTAACGTCTTTTCATTCTCTTTCACTCCCAGGAGCCCCTTGCATCTTTGTGGCATTATCACTTTACTGGGGGTGAATTGATTTAAAAAAAAAAAAAAGTTGTTTTTTTTTTGTCTCTCCTAAACTTTACTTCACCATCCATTTACTCAACCTCACAAAGTAGGTTATGTATTGTTTTCCACTTTATCTGTCCTGTGAGTATCAGATTTTTCAAGCTGTCTTTCCTCATTATGTACCTTAGAAAGTCCAACTTCCTCTTTTTGTTTCCATTTTCTCTAAAACTTCATTGTTTCGCACATGTTTAGTCCATGGTATTTTCAGTATCCTTCTGGAGAACCACATTTCTGTTGTTTCAAGTTTCTTCTTCATCTGTGAGGAGATTGTCCAGCATTCACTGCCATATAGTAGGATTGATATTAGGTAACAGTTCAGCATTCATTTCTTTGTTTCTGATGAAATTTTCCAGTTTCTTAATACTTTATGATCAGTATATCCAAATCTAAAGAGCTTACATTTCTTATTTCTTAAAAGTAAATCAATAATCCTATAATTACAGCAGAGAAAAAACTGTCATTAAGATTACACATGCATTGTATAAATGGCACTTAGACATGTGATGAATATCACAACCTTAAAGTTATTTGAAGAATTAAGTAAGAAAAAAGAAAAGTATAATTATTTCCTAAAACTGAAAATTAAAGATTAAATTTAAGATAAGTTTTTGACAAAGAACAGAAAATCAATTTTTTTTTTTTTTTTTACTTAATTTTCATATATTTTTCTTTTAAAAATTTGTTATCCTCAAAACAAGTAAAGGAAAAAATTCAATGAAAAAAGCAAAAAGTTGAACAAACAAAATAAACTAAAAAATTGATATAAGTCTATTAAAATTTTGTTTGTTTTTTTTTTTTTTACTTTTTTTGTGAGAGTTTTTAGTGGCTGTGAAAACGGTTATGTTTAGAGTGTATAAAGTACTTGAGATTATTTTGACTTTCCTTGTGAATTCACAATGAAACCAAAAAAGAGAACAATTTCAAAACAAGGATTTGTTAAAAACCAAATATATTTTCAGATGAGTAGAAAGACATAAAAACATTCAATAGAAGGATTTTCATTGATTGACTGATTTCTTTTTTTTTATGGCTTATCCACATTTTGCAGATTACTTAAAGCCCCAAAATAATTTTAGACTGTAAGAATTTGGGGAGGAGGAATAATGATTTACTGACAAAAGTCCTCCATTATACTTTTCCATAGGATATTTGCACATAAATGAATATAACAAATTCAAATGGAATGAAAACTCGGTTATCTGATTTTCAATTCTGAGCCATTAACCATTACATAACCCACATATCCAAGCTTACAGCACCTGGTATTCCCAAGTAGTTACCCATCTTGGTACTGACCAAGTATGATGTTACTTAACTTCAGTGATCATATGAGACCCAATGTTTTGACATGATATAGCCATAAGCCAAAATAGGCAAACAAAGAGACATTAGTCAAACAACTGTTGTCTAGTCACAGTTACTGGAAAAAGATTAAAAAAAAAATCTTAGTTCACAAATAAATAAGGGTAACTCGCTGCTATATACATACATATACATGAGGTATTGTTCAAAATTAAAGCCTCCTATTTTTTCCCCACAGAAGCTACAACAGATACATGAAATACAATAGAACCATTGGATTGAGTAAGTTATTAGCTACAAAACAATATTTTTCCATACATTCACCATGATTTTCAAGGTGTTCTTAATGTAATCAGTTGGGAGGCAGTGTATGTGCACCTAGAATGTGGTCTGTTACAG